CGTGCATCCCAAATCGCGGCGGCTTGTTGTGAGATCATGGGGACGGTGGTGCTGGCGGCGCCACGCAAAGAAGATCAAGCCTTTGGCACAGCGGCCAGCCGGCTGTGCAGTCACGCGGCAGGCCAACATTCCGGCTTGACAGCAACTGCCAGTTGCGACACGGCCCCAAAGCATGGAGCATGCCAGCGCTTATTGAGCGAGCCCCCGTGTCTACCCACATCCCTGTTTACTCACAACACCTTCCCACCTGCGGGCTCGCCCCGTCGCGCATCATGCGCCCTCCCCCCACCCCAACCAAAAAGGTCCTGTGGACGTATTTCATCTTCCTGGAGGCTGCCGCCATCCTGCCATCATTGCTGATTTTGGCAACCTGTCAGCGCGGCCTTGCACAGAGCGCCATCCAAAGCGAAGGATGGCTGTTGCGGTTGTGGCATGGTGGTCATCATCGTTTGACAGTTGGGGTGCCTCTCTGCAGGCGTCGCACCCCGGTCACAGTCAGAACAGAGAGGAGTGACTAGGGGAAGAATTGGGGAGTTTGTGGAGAAGTATGGGAGCTTTGTGGGTAAAGCAAGCAAGGGCATCGTTGTTGGTGCCCGAGGCTTTCGCAAGGGGCCGCCTCAAAAGCGGCGCTGCGGGTGGGTAGCCGGCCGAGCAGCCTGGGCCGCAGTGCCCAGGTCAGCTGATATTGACGATGATGACATAGCGGAGGCAGCGCTAGCAGTGCCAATTTTGTGATTGCAGCGCGCCAGCACGCACGCACGCTAGATTGTCATTCGCGGCACTGACCGTTTTGCGACAAAGTGCCCAATATATAACAAACCAAGCCCCACAATGGGCAACCTGACTTGATGCGGCTCTTGCCCTGCCCGTGTGTGGGGGGGGGGGTGGAACGAGCAAGGTGCCAGTGCAGCAGAGCGACTGATCAAAGCCACACTCTAACAAGGGGGGCTGTATGTCCTGTGCGTCACGCTCACCTTGTGCACATGACTTGTCTCTAGCCCCAGAGTATGCACCGCATGCACTGTGCGTCCACGCCCCGGGATACTGCAGCGCGTGGAGTGAAAGCCAAAGGGTCCGAGTAACTCAACATCCTGTGCTGCGGTGACAGTGGATGGAGGCGAACGAACAATACCGTGTTGTGGCGTGTACTTTTGAAGCGCATGCGCGCGGCACAAGGGCCTGTGCCGGCTTTGCTGGCGCGGGCTCACAGCTGGTGCGCCCCTGGCCCGCCCGTTGATCACAGCACTGCCTTGTTAGACCAGCACCCAGCATGCGCCAGTCTGTTGAGAGACAGCTGGGAGGGGGGTAGGTGGATGAGGACTAGGATTGTTACAGCGTCTGGCTGTCGCCCAGTTCTGGAGATGGGCCGCCCCTGCCTGCCAACAAGCGTGCTTGCCTCTGCAGGGGTGTGAAACAAGCAAACTCACCCTCAAAGCCCCCCTTCAGAGGTTCGGGCGGGGCAGCACAGTCGCCAGGGCAACCGCACCATCGTGCATTGTACCCCCACAATGCCTTGCTGCAGCAGCTGGCAGCTGCCAGCTGCCAGCTGCCACTAAAGTGCGCCTGTGACACGCATGATGCGCACCAATACACTTGCCGTCGGCGCGGCCAAGAATTGGATCACCACACCTGTGCAACCCACATTTTTTACACTTGATTCGCACTCTCAGGCGCCAGCGTCGCCCTCCGTGCACCTCACTGTTAATCTGTCACTCCTGTGCACACACATGCACGCCGGCTGTGCGCCTGCGCCTCCTCTGGCGACCTGGCTGTACCCCAAGCTCACGCCCTCCGCTGCTCTGGTCAGCTAGCTGTCGCGCTCAAGTGGTTTTGATGTGAGTCCCAGTGGAACGAGTGCGGGCAGGGATACTCCACACCACTCACTTTGAGCATGGTGCTGCTTTACGCACCATTGCCACTGCGCCCCTTGTGAGAGGCTGACGGCCGACTGTAGTACGACTCCGAGGTGATTGAGGTATGCTTTCATTCACTACCCTTGCTTGGTTCTCGCGGATGAACATGTTAAGATGGTGTCAAGGTCATCTGAAAGTGATCACCCCGGTAGTGATCGGGGTGTCACCCCTTGAAACTGTGCACAGTAGTCAACACCCTGTGGGGCCCTCCAACCCGTCGTAGCGGCATTGCAGCTACCCCATTAACACGGGGTGTTTCTGCCTTGGTGCTTCTTGGAGGCTCGGGCATGCCCACCACGATTTCGAGGGACGCAACACACTGCGCTTGCTCATCTCGTGAGTTTCGAGGGCGTTGGCCCAGCAGCGTCATTCACACCTGGTAACCCGCGCCCATGTGTCGAAACTAAAAGCCTCTATCCATCGTGTGTAGATTTGCACGTGTGTTCATTTGAGCTGGGCCGCCAGAGTTCGCACTCTGATGAGTAAAGCCATGATCTCAACCCATGGCTTACAGCCCTTGAATCATTGTAGAACTACGTCCGCAAACTGGGACTGACACAAACGTGGTGCAGCGGATGTGAACTGCGTTTACTCCTCAACCACATTGGGCTGGTGGTAGGCCAGGATCGGAACCGTCTCACCAGGGCCAGTGCCAAGTGTGCGGCGAGCAGCAGAGGGGTGTAAATTCCACACCGGCCGTGTTTGCCGCCGCTTACAGCGAACGCCTTGTTTGGCTCGAATCATCGACTTTTCCCGTCGACGGCGCCATACGCCCAGCATGCGGTGTTTACGGAGATCCCTCATACTTTTGGCAGTGATCCTGCTGCTTCTCAACACGCTGGGCGGCGTCATGTCTGCCAGGTGCGCACGCAGGCCTGTGAGGCCGGGGGTGTGCAGGCACCTCCTGATCGTCGGAGCGAGCGAGTGCCTGACAGTATGTGCAGTTTGGCGCACAAGCAGTTGTATAAAGCAATCACTCCCATGCACCAGCAGGCCCCACATCTTGCACATGGAAGGCGTTCGCACGCCAGCATGGCAGTCACTGACATCCCAATTACTGTCTGCGAGCTAATTGCCACACCCCAGCTGGTGTGCTTGCGTTGTTGACCTACAATGCATGCCGCCCCTGCTGCACGCCTCCACTTTAGCTGTTTTGACTGCCTATGCATACGGTTTACGCTGATCCGCACCGCTGTCCTCTTGTTGCCCCCACCCACTTGGCACCCCCGGCAGCCCTCAAGCGACCCCCAAGAAGAAGCTGGCGGTGGTGAGTGTCGCCTGCGTGCCACGCAAGGCCTTGCTGCGCATCTGAAGGCGCGCATCAGCTGGTCGCTTACTTTCCCCCAGCATGGAAGCCATGCATGTCGGCGTGTGCCGTGCGGCCATGTAAAAACGCCTGCCTGCCCCGCACTGTATGTGTGGCTTCCGTGACGCCAGCATCATGCTGTGCAGGCATGACCCAACCCTGCTTTGATCGCTCACCCCCATACAGTGTGCGCCCGTCAAGGCTTTGGTCAAGTCGTGCACCTCCAAGGCCGGCCCGACTGCCCTGATGGACCAGCTGTGCAGTGAGCTGCTAGCACCTGCCAACGCTACGGCCGACAGCAAGGTGCGTGCGCGCGCACGCATACAAACCCACACACGCACGCACGAAGACAGGCAGTATGCACGCACGCACGAAGACAGGCGTCTGTGTGCTGGTATGGCAGCAAACAGACGCGACGACGACACAGTGGTGACTCCTTGGTTGTGTGTGGGTGAAGGAAGCTTCAGCTGTTCCAGCATCCCTGAGTAGTTCGAACATCAAAATACAGCAAAGTTGTTCCGATCATCACACGGTTTGCTCTGTACTTTGATCAACCGGCACACTCCCTCTCTTCCAGGACCCCACCAAGCTGCGTTATGGTTGCGGCGTGGCGACCGCTGCACAGGTCGACAGAGTGTCCAGTGACCTGGCAGCCCTTGAGCCCAAGGTCACCGCCGCCGCCGCCCAGGCCAGCTCTCTGCAGGCCACCTTCGTCCAGGGAAGCAACCAAACAGCCGCGCTGCGCGCTCAGGTGGACGAGCTCAAAGCAACCATCGCGGCGCTCACCGCCTCCGTGCAAAAGCTGCAAGCAAACGCGGCCAACGCGACTGTCCCGGGCACCATCATACAGGAGCTCGCCGCCTTCGCCGCCGCTGACACGCGCACCGCCCAGCAGCTGGCCGTGCTGGAGGCGGCCAACCAGACCGTGGCCCGGGACATCGCGGCGCTCAAGTCTGCGCCGCAGCAGTGCTTCTGCGGCATGGAGCTGTCAGCCGTCAACACCACCCTGGCCGCCATCAAGGCAGCCCAGGCGGCGGACACGGCGGCGGTCTCCCTGGCCAACACCACCGTGGAGTCCCTGAAGGCCACAGTCACCACAGGCGCGGCAGCCATCGCCTCGGTCAACACAAGCCTCACCACCCTGGCAGCCAATGTGGCCAATGTGTCTGCCATCGACTTCAGCGTCTACGCGAAAACCACTGACCTGGCCAACATCAACTCAGTCAGCCTGGGAGGCGTGCCCGCTGCGCAGTACCTGCGCTCACGGGTGGTGCTTTTCAGCGAATCTATCACTGGAAGGAATGGAAACCTTGGTGGCAGGTCTGGTGCCGACGCCCTGTGCAGCGCCTCCCTCAACCGGCCGGCCGGGCTTGTGCAGGTGCACGCGTTCCTATCGGTGTCCGCTGGCGATCAGATTGCGGATTTTTCCGCAAAGTATGGTGTCCCCGGCGGCCTGGCAATCGAGTCGCCGACCGGCGCCGTCCTGGCCAGGAATTTCACAAGCCTGCTGGGAGGCAGCATCTTGTTGTCCTTGCAGGATGCGGGCGTGTTTTCGAATGCTGCAGGGGTGTGGTCTGGCAGTGAATCAAATGGCGTAGTCGCAGCGGAAACGTGCAACGGGTGGACCAGTGCCTCATCGGTGGATTCGGGAAAGTCTGGATCTACACCCCGCACTGACAGCCGATGGATCGCAAGTGGCACAGGCCAATGCGATGGCTCCAGACGATTCATGTGCATCGCTTACTGATCTGTCAGGTCTGGGAGCAATGCCTTTACCATGTCTCAGGAAGGCACTGAGGAGGGAGGAAGGCACGCGGCATTGCACTCTGGTATGCTGCCAGCAGGTGTAGCCTGGATCACCCTGCACACGCCCGCATTTATCAGTTGGGCTTCATCCTGTTTCACAATGGCACACCAAGCCGTACTTTGCGATTGCTGATGGACGGGCCCAATGTCTGACCTAATGAGGCTGTTCACTGGACACTTAGGGCGGTCGAGAACTGCTGTTCCCCTTTCAGCACAGCATATCGATATAAACTGAGCCCTCACTCATGTGATACGTAAAAGCAATGAGTAACGGTCTTTCGCCACGCTCTTTTACAACCTCGTGCACACCGTCTGCATTCCTCGTTGTTTCGTAGCTTGCCATATGCGCGCACGCCTGGCGCCCTGTGCGCACCAGCAGGTTCTCGCTGCGCACGCACACAATGCATACCTGCCCAGCAGGGGCACGTCCTGTGGCGGTTCTTACCACCTGGGATGGGGCCCTCTGTACGGTATGCATCACCAGTGAACCGTTGCCAGTCAGGGAGTGCCATACACCCGCCTGCATTGAAACAGCTGAGCAGCAAAGGCAAGTAAGCTGTTGTGGCACAGCCGAAGTTCCCATTGCAGGGCGAGTTGGCGTTGACAATGCATCTCGGCAAGATCTGGGTGGCTTCGGGAGCGGCTGCGCATGATACTGTACCGTACGTTATTGTACCTGCAGAGCTGGTGCGCCGCTTGAACTCGCGGTGCAAGCCTGCTGGTGTTCCGCCATACCTGATGGTGCTTCGCCGCCACGAGATTGTCTGCGATTGTGAAGGTGTGCAGCTGAGCGGGCCTGTGCGGAGAGGTGTCAAAGAGTTTTGCATCCCCAATCGATTCGAACAGCCAGGCTCGTGGGGCTGGGATGTTCAAACCCAGGCTGTTGTGTCATCGATATTGAGATGTTTTACCCCGCCATTTCGGTCGTCTGCGGCTGCGGCGGCCCAGGTGGTGGGGGCAGTGGCACCTCGTGTGGCGGGCGGCGTCTGCAGCGTAGCGGGCGTGGAGGCATGTGTGCCGCCTAATCTGCGAGGCTGGCAGCATGCTGGCAGCATGCCGCCTGCGCAGGCAGCGGGCTCTTGGCTTTGCGTAAAGCGTTGTGTGAAGGTGGGGGCCGGAGCGCGTCCATGTCGAGTCGTCCTCTTCCCAGTGGGTTGAAAACTGCTGCCAGCCAGGGGCCGGCACAGGTCGCTTCCACGGGTTTGACCCTTCAAAACCAGAACAAACCCACTTGCTTGATCCTCTGGCTTATGATCATTATCAGAACCCACCCACTTGCTTGCTCTTGGCTGCCTGAAATAAACCACACTGAACGTCTGACACCGCAGCTGCCGCTGCTTGCATGCGCCTGCATGCCCCTCCACCTGTTCCCCCCTCGGGCCCCCACGCTGCCGCCGAGGCTGTCTGTGCCGCCATCTGCACCTTCCCTGACTCGTGTACATTGGCTCGCATGACTAAGCCATTGCGCCTGGGCAGGCCGCACGAGCCGCACCGCCCACACCCTTTGAGTCACCAGCACGTACGCCACCTGTCCCCTCGCAACCCTATCGGCATGGGCCTGCTTCGTCCCACACTCCCTGACGGCAACCCTTGTATAGCGACCCTTGGAACGCACAAAGCCTGAACTGCCACCCGTTCGTTTCCCGCCGCGTGCGTGCGCCTGTCCACGGGCGTGCCCGCGCGCACCCCCGCTACGCCTCCAACAGGCACCCGTGTCGCAGCTCGCGCGTCGCGCCACTGCCGCACCAGTTTGGCTGCCACCCGCCGCGCCGCGCTGCGTCACGCAAACGGAGCAGGGGCTGCCACAAAGGTAGCAGGTGGTGTGGGCGCAGGCGTGCGTTCTCTGCTCCATGTGTGTTTTCTCAGGGTTTTGCTACGCGATGTTACCAAAGGCTGAGGGTCTTCGCGACCTCTTCTTCAATCACTTTCTAGTCAGCAAAATCATGCAATGCTGTCTGGCGGGTTGTGGGGAGTTTGGCAAACTGGCGGCCAAGGGAGCGTTGTGCTCGGAACGAGGTTGCGCTGAGCCCCTGGAGCTTGGGTGCGCCTGGGTCCGTCCCCCAACGTGTGTATGACTGTGTGCTGCTGTATCGGATCGGACCATTGCGCTGTGTGGTGATGTGAGTGCGCCTGGCTTGGCAGAGTGGGGTGTGCGTGGGCACCGCACCCACCCTGTTTGTTGGCAACGCTGCTTGCCAAGATTGGAACATATTCATGACAGATCATACAACATTGTTACCTAACATATCGCTGTTTTTACAAGGAAGTGGGGGCAGGTATTGACACAGGTGGGAGAGTACGATTCACAGCGAGCAGTGTAATAAAGGGAGGCGTGGCTGGAAATCAGAGTCATACTCCTTGGAAGGCGGACGGGCAGATTTGGGCATTCGAGGAGCACAAAAAGGAGCAATATAGGCCAGGCAGTGCTGGTATGCGCATGACGAGGTTGGCGCACGGAACTTGCAGATGCGGCGGCCGGCGGGGTGTGAAGCTGGTAGTGCGTGAGGGCAGTGCGCGTGCGCCATGTGCAGGTCGATCTGTCGTGGTAGCTTTGCGCCAGTGGCCAATAGATCCGTCAATACATCATTTCATACATGCTGCCTGCTGGCTTGCGTCACTCACGGCCTGTGTGAATGCACCGCACCAAGACGTGGACACCTGGCACCCCGCAATTCAAGCGCCACACGCGACGCAAGTGACCCTGGCAGTGACGCACCAAGCCTTGATCTGGTGTTGTATTGTCAAATATTGGTAGCCTTTTTAGTTTGCTCCGATACGCTGGTTGGCTCGGCGCGCGCTGGCCAGCTTGTTGACGCAACGTCGATCTGCGAGCAGCACATGGCCGTTCCAGGGTGATTGGCGGATTATATGGATCCATTCGATTTTCCTGGTGATGGCCCGGCCCCGCCCGAGGGGCTGGTTCAGCTGTGCAAGAAGATCAGCAGTACCAAGTCGAAGGACGCACTGATCAAGGGACTAAAGCAGTTAGTATCTATTCTTGAGTCGGCACCACAGGATGTGGAGGCGCTGGGCCGCGGAGGGGACGAGCTGCCGCGCACCGTGGCGTCCCTACTTCACCACAGCGACAAGGACGTGAAGCTATATGTAGCGGTGTGCGTGGTAAACATGCTGCGGATCTGGGCGCCCGATACGCCGTTCGACGATGAGCCCGACAACCTGGAGGTGAGGCGTGGTGCAAAGCGTGCGCAGCAAGCGTGCTATGCTATGCGGTCGAGCACGCATGCGGTGCGGAAGGTGCCGCCAACGACCTTCATGTTGAATGTGTAAGCAAGCATGCTGCCAGCATGCGCGTCCATGGTACACACAGCAGGACATGTGCCTACATGCTGTGCATGCTGCGCGCTCGCTCCACGATGCAGGCAGCGCTGGGGGTGGTGTTGTGGGTCGTCAACCGGCTGCAGAACCACGCTGTCCCCACATTTCAGCTGGCAATCTCAGTGCTGCAAGTGTTTTGCGAGGTAAATGGATGGCTGGCAGGGAGACGCGCGCCACGAACGCTGCCCTTCTGTGCACTTCATCCATTCATGTACGCGTCCTGTCAGTGCGCACTGCTGCGACCTGATGCCATTGCTTGGTGAGCCGAAACCAGCGTCCCCCGCAGAGGAGCATGCGCCCGTCCCGCAAGCCGCATGCACCCGCCTGGACCCGCCTCAGACCAAGAGCTACTACCTGCTGACCGACTCCGGGCGCGGCGACATGGAGCTCGACTGGTTCAGGGCGCTGCTCGACTGCGTCACGTGCGTTAGTTTTGCAAATGGATCTTGGGCTGCGGCCTCAAAGCTCATGAGGGGCGTGCATGCATGCAGCAGGCGGCTGCCGCCTGCTGCGGAGTGGAAGCGTGGCAGCCCTACGCTCGATCCAACCCCTCGAGCACATGCTGCGCGCAGCCGCTGCGCCTGGTACCCAGCCTCGCGCTGCGGCGCCTCCCGCCTTGTCGAGCTGCCTAAACTCTGCGTGTTGCTCACCCTCTGTGCCCCTGCTTGGCCAACTCCTCAGGGAGGCCAACGCCGAGTCCCTGGAGCTCTACGTCACTGAGGTGCGTGCGCCTCGGGCGACGCCCTTTCGCATCCCTTCCTCGGGAACCAACCCAACAAAAAAACAAGGGGTTTGCGTCCTTCTTGAAAGACCACCTCAGCCCGCGCACTGACCCTGCACCTCTGCGTCATGAAGTGCTGCCACCTCATGGGCTCGCTGCACGGTCTTGCGAACCTGCACTGCCCTCGTCCTTCAGATCCTTTGCGGCATGCTGGAGGACGACGAGATGGTGTCAGAGGCCAAAGTGGAGGCGCTGCTGTCTTGCCTGGTGCCGCCCGCCGCCGACGAGAGCCCCGCCGCGGGCGCGGTCGCGCGCGCAGTGCTGCGTCGTCGCGAGCGGGAGGTGCAGCCGACGCTGCAGCGGCTGCTGACGCGGCTGCTGACGAGCCCGCTGACGGCGAGCTCAGGGCTGTGGGAGCAGAGCTACGCGGTGGTGGCGCAGGTGGGCGCGCGCGTGGTTGCGTCTGTTCACAGGGGGCGACGATTTAAAGTTGAAGGTGTCAAGGTGCACAGGCAATGGGGGCCACGAACCAGGGAACTGCTGCGAATCAGTTGCAGCGCGCATGGTCACGTTTTGGAGGCAAGTGCCCCGAGATGTGCGCAAGACGCCTGTCAAGCGCCCAGTGCCAGTTTCGGGCCACCCAGCTCCCTTGTCGTTCCTCTCCTCCCGTAGAGCCTGTCGCTTGCCTATTAGCACCTACATTGATCTCATTCAATCTCCCTGCCGTGCGTTTTCGTCCACCTGAAAATACTCGTTTGCAGCTTCACGATGTGACGCCCCAGGCGCTGCTGCCCGTCGTCCCCCACTTGTCGGACGAGCTCTGCTCCACCGACGCGTCAAAGCGCCTGGAGGCGGCGCGGCTGCTGGGGCGGCTGTTTGGGCAGCGGGGCGGCGGTGCAGTGGCCGAGGAGTGGGGAGAAGTCCTGACAGAGCTGCTGAGGCGCTTCAAGGATGAGAAGGTGGGCGGAGAGGGAGGGATTGCAAGTAAGACTTGGTGTGCGTTGAGAGCAGACAACCACATCCAGGTTCAAGCCCTTGAACCCTGCAGCAGCAGCAGCAGCAGCAGCAGGAGCAGGAGCAGCAGCAGGAGTAACAGCCGCAGCAGCCGGCGGGCGCGCCCCTCTCTCTCACGGCTTCTGGGGCCCCTCCCCTAGAATGCGCTAGCCCCTGCCAGGAGGCAGCCGCAATGGCCCGTCCTGCGCGGCTGCAGCGCCTTGCCAACCCTGATGTCCTCACCGTCTCTGCCCTTGCTCGCAGCCCGAGATCCGCATGGAGCTGGTCCAGCTGGCGGCGCAGATGGTCGGCAGCCTGAAGTCTGAGGAGATGAGGACCAAGGTGGGGCGGGCGGCAGTATTCAAGGGTATGTGACGGCCGTCCCTGTTGTTCACTCGAGTTGGGCTCTCGAGCGCCACTCGTGGATGCACGCGGGGCGTCCTGGCCTTTGAAGGGGAAAAGCCAGGCTGGTCCTTCATGCTCGCCGCGCGTCGCCGCCCTCGGCCTGACAGTAGGAAACTGGTGCGCCCGCGGTGCCCGCGCCCGACCCTGCAGGTTTTGGAGGGCGTCTTTGAGCGGCTGAGGGACCCCGACGAGAAGGTGGGCGGGCACCAGGCACGATGGCACACCCGCTGGCGGCGCGCTCCTCGCTCTGGCTGCCGCCCCTGACCCCGCGGCACCTGCGCTGTCGGCCGACATGGGCACCCGGGCCTTCGCCCTCCTCAGCTCATCACCCCCTGCCGCGTATAACGCTACTTTCAACTCCTCCCCTTCCCCGTCCGCCAACCGCTGCGCGTCGCCCACAGGTGCGCATCGCCGCTTGCAAGGCCGCCTGCGCCGTCGCCTCGGCGCACCCGGCCCTCGTGGCCGACAGCGCCGCCGCGGCGGGTGGCGGCCCCATCCATCTGGAGGAGGTCAGCGTCAGGATGCGCGACCTGCGGCCGGCGGTGCGGCGCGCGGCGGTGGTCGGGCTCATGGCGCTGTTCAGGGGCCGCGTCAGCAAGGGTGAGTGGGTGTGTGCTGGGCCACGGACCCCGGCAGGTGGGATGGCATGGGCCCGCGCACAATGTTTACACAGTGATGGCGGGCGCGGAGGGTTTCCGGCTCGTGCAACTCTTGGTTCTAGTCACTGCCTGTCACGCTGTGAGGCCATTTCTCGGCGGCCGCCCTGCTCCTCATTGCCTGAGGAATGAGCCAGCGCCTTTGGCGCCTTTTTGCATCACTGCACCCAGGCGGCCTGGCCGGCGGCAAGGGCGTGTACTGGATCCCCGCGCGCGCCATCATGTGCGCGTGCGCCGACGCGCCGCTGCGGCAGGAGCTTGAGACCGCGGTGTGGCGGGACGGGCTGCTGGGGCCGTCGGCGGCGCCGGGGCTGGTGGCGCAGGTGGGGCCAGGCGGGGGCTCCCTCTGGCGGCATCCGAGTCGCTGTGCCTGCATTCGTGGGCGCGCACGGGCGGAACATGTATGATGCAAACGATCCACACTCGACTGCTGTTGACAGCGTCCTGCCCCAGCCGCGAGCGCCCTCCTTGCCGCCGACGCGCCCGCCCGTGCCCCCCCTGCCCTCTTCATCTCAGGTGTGGGTCGAGGTGTGGCGCCAGGCGGCCCCCCACGAGGTCAGCAAGGTGGTGGTCCTGCTCGAGGCCAAGGCGCTGCTGCAGGTGCGCCTCGGGGTGCGCTGATGCTTGCTCCCCCGCGCACTCCCCCCCTCCCGGCACCCCTGGTGTACGGGCGCGCCTCTTGCGGTTCCGCCAATCGCCTTGAGACACGACTGCTGTGGCTTCAGGCCTTAAGCGACCTCCCTTTTCCGGCCCGCCAATGCCCCCCTTGCCCGCCGGCTCCCCTCCCCTTGTCAGTTCGAGGCCCTGTCGTTTTTGGAGTGCCGCCGCCTGCTGGCTGGCACAGAGGGTGACCAGCGCGCGGGCCTGCAGGTGGGCGTTCAGCCCGCGAGGTTCCCCCCTCCCCGATCGCTGGGGACACGGCGCGCTGGTGGCCGAGCGCTGTACGATTGCGGCGGCACGGCACACACGGCTTTTGCAATGGGCTCAGCGAGCCCCTTTTGGGGAGCCTTCCGGTTCCAGTCACGACACTGCATAAATGTTTGCAATGGGATCCGCTTGCCGCAGGCCAAGATGGACGCCGCGGCGCGCAAGCTGGCGAAGCGGCTGCCGGACCCATTCAAGGCTGAGCAGCAGCTCGCGGCGCTGAGGGATGTGCGGGACAACAGGGTGGCGGCCAGCCTGCTGGCGGCGCTGGCGCTGGGCGCCAAGAGCGAGGTCGGGCCGACAGCGAGGTTTTGTTTGGTTCAATGTGGTGGGGGGTTTGATGCGACCCGTGAGAAGAGGACGAACGGGCCAGTCGCCTGCTCTGGGGGGCACGGCTGACGGTGCCCCTTGGTCGGCGTGCCGCTGGTTGCGCTGTGTTGGGAAGCCGGGCGCCGGTCCGCTCTGCTCGCACAACCGCTATCTCTTCTCGAGTTCGCGGCCGCCCAGACGCCCCCCCCACTCCGTCCCCCCTCGCCAGGCGGCGGCACGCGCGCGCTCTGACGCGCTGCAGCGCGTGAATTCAAAGAGCCCCCTTGCGGACTTCCTGCGCCTGCTGCTCGCGTACGCGCAGCCCAGCCTGCTGCCCCAGGAGGCCGCGGGCGCCCTGCTCGACCTGGCGGCTGGCGTGGTGCCGAAAAGCGGGCACGCGGCGGGCCGCATTGGCCGGGGCGGCGACGTGGAGGGGAGGGATGATGCAGAGGGTGAGGAGGACGAGGAAAAGGAGGGCAGCGGCGGCAGCGGGGAGGACGTGGAGGATGAGGAGGGCGCGGGCGCACGGGGCGGCAAGCGGCGCCGGCGTGGCGCCGGCGCGCGGGCGGGCGCGCGGAAGCAGCGCAAGGTGGAGGCGACGGGCGGCGCACAGGAGGGCGACGGGGAGGGCAGTGCGGTGGCGCCCGAGGTGGCAGAGGCCGCGCGGGCCGTCTGCCGGCAGGTGTCAAAGTCGGCCGGCGGCCTGTTTGCGGGGCAGACCGAGCGGCTGAGCGCCATGCTGGCCGGCGGCGCCCGAGACGGCGGCGGAGACAAGGGTTCTGGCGAGGAGGAGGAGGGCGCCGCGCGGGGGGAGCTGCGGGCGCTCGCCGCGCAGCTGCTGTCGCGCTGGGCGCGCGTTGCGGCTGGCCTGTCGCCGAGCTGCGCCGCTGCGGGCGCCGCCTCGGCGCAGCCGGCGGCCGGCTCAGGCGCCGGCGAGCGGCCGCTCCGGCAGGGCAGGGGCGCGGCGGCGGCGGCGGCGGAGGGCGCTCCGCTGGCTGAGGGCGGCGCGGCGCTCGAGCCGCTGAGGGCGGCGCTGCTGCGGGTGGCGTCCGAGGGACCGCCAAAGGCCGCGCGGCACGCCGTGGCGGCACTCCACTTTCTGTACGGCGCAGCCATTCACCAGGTGCCAACGGCCCCGCCAACTGCGCTGTGCAATGCGCTGGCACGCATTGTGAAACGCTGCAGCGCTGGCGACATCCGCGTCCTCCGCCCTCACGACGCTCCCAGCGTGCGGGCGCCGAGCAGAAGGAGACAAAAGCGCAGCGAGCTTGACTGTGCGAATGCATCGCACGTACTCACCTCACTCTCATTTCCTGGCGCAACCCAACCCCAGGAGCTCGGGTCGCTCTGCGGCCGCCTGGCGCGCGGCCTGACGCCCAAGCGCGCGGGCGACGCACTCGCGCTGGCGCACGTGCACGCGCTCTCCGCCATCGGCCAGTACATCCCAGGTGGGACCGCGGGCCCCGGCATCCCACTCCCCTCCCCCCTCGTCCTGTCCTCTCCTCACACACCCCTGCACTAAGCAGCTCACCGCCCCTGGTGCGGCTCGCTATTGTGGGCTCGTCCCATCTCGTCGCAGGGCGGGTGTTGGACGCTCTGTGTCGGCAAAGGGCCTGCATCTCCGCCTCCTCGCTCCTCTCCTTGTCAAGCCTGCGCCTCTGCCCGCCCGCCCGCCCGCCCCACAACTTTGCCCCGCACCCCAGACGCCCTCGCGCCCCACTCGGAGGCCCTAAGCGAATTCGTCACAAACCGCCTGCTCGGCGCCTACATCTCCCACCCGGGCAACGGCGGCGGCGGCGGCGCAGAATTGTCTGTGGCGGAGCCCGGCTTCGAGGTGGCGGCGAAGTGCGGCGCGATACGCGCTCTGGCGCGCGCGCTGACGCCCGAGATCGACGGAGACGAGGTGAGGGCCGGCCGCCGCTTTTTGAACCCTGGTCCCGTTTCTATGGCACTGCTACAAAAGCTGCTGCGTGGCGCCGGTGCCACCCCGCCCTGCGTGCGTCCGTCCAGGAAAACCCGAGGGGCCAGGCGCCCCCCCTCCAGTCGGGAGGGGGCGCGGCCGGGCCTGGCGCCTAAGCCTCCGTCGTCGTGCCGCCACGCGTCGACGCCGCGCGCGGCTCCGCTTGCGCGCCGCCGCAGGTGCGCGTGGAGACTATCCGGGCGACCTGCGCCTTCATCGACGAGCTGCAGCGGTGGGCTGGGCTGGGGAGCGGAGGTTGGGGGGCGCGGGGGCTTGGGTTTTAGGATGTCGGCGGTGCTTAGCTCGTGAACGCACACAACGCGGTGATCGAGATGGCAGATGGAAGGCGCCACGGCCACGCCCCAGGACCCTGCAAATGCGTGCTCCGGCACGCTTCTAAATTGCCGGCCGCTCAGGCCAAGTCGGTTGCGCTGTCAGCCAGGCCGCGTGACAAGCCGAGACCCTCTGTCAGACGCACCCTCCACCTCTACCCCCCTCCCCATTTTTCAAACAAAGGCTGCTGGATGTGGAGGCGCCGCCCGAGTGGCTGCCCGCCCACGCCGCGCCCGAGCAGGAGGGCGCCGTGCGGCTGGCCGCGGCGCGCGCCGTGCTGCGGCTGGTGCGGCGCCACGACGTGCGGCTGCCGCAGCCGGCGTACTGCCTGGCGGCGCTGACGATGCAGGTGCGGCCGGCCGGCGGGCCGCCTGGCTGGCCGCCCGTCCGTCCGGGCCGCGCCCGTCGGTCTGCCTGGAATCAAGCTGCAATTGCATCACCCAGCACAACGCTGGCCAGCACTCGTGCTCCTTGGCACCCCCCTCTCCAGCCAGCCGCGCGGGCGCCAGGGCCTCCCCCACCCGCCCGCCTCGCCGCCTCCGTGCCCGCACCCACTACCCCCCTCCACTCCTCGCTTTTCACACCCCACGCACTACTTCCCCCCCCTGCAGGATCCGGTGGTTGACGTGCGGCGCCTGTTTGCGGCTAAGCTGGCTGCCGCCATCCACTACTTTAACGTGAGCCTCAATACCTTTGTTGCCACATGGACCAAGCACCAACGCGCGCGCCGGCCCCGCCCGCTCGCAGGCGATTCGCCCGGATCAGGAAGCGGGGGGCGCTGGGGGCCGCGGAGCGCGCCCTCCGTGCCCAGCTGCGTGCGCAGCCTGCTTCGTCGCCCCACGACCCATATCCTCCGCCGGAGCTGCCCTTCGCATAGCAATTGCTTCCCACCATCAAACACATCATCCAAGCCCGCCTATGAGCCCGCTGACCGCACCCGCGCCGCAGCAGGCGCTTCACTCCGTCTCAGCTCCTGCAAGCAAAAGGGGGTCGCTTCTCTCCACCAACACCCATGTCTTGCGAACCACATACCCCCATCACACCGCGCCCCCCCTCCTGGCAGGTGCGGCCCCGCTACCACCAACTGTCAGCCAAGCTCGCCGCCATGATGGCGCTCGGCGCGGCCGACCCCGTCCCGCAGCACAAGCGCGCTGCGGCCGGCGCGCTGCGCGACTGGGCGCGGGCGCGGCGGGCGGCGGCGCAGAGGCTCATCACGGCGGCGGCGGCGGACCGCGCAGGTGAGGCGGCGGCCTCGATTTGCGCAGCGCCCCCTTAATGTACCGCCAGGGCCCAAACAGACCCCGCGTCTCCGCCCGCCACCTCTCCCAGAGCCCTGCATTTAAATATTCAGGCACTCCCACAATGCCGGCCCGCCGCGCCCACTGTTGCGCCTCTCCGCCCCGCCACCCCCTCGCCACCGCCGCGCAGCCGACGGCGGCAGCACCATGCAGGAGCAGCCCGAGATGGCCGTGCCCTACCTCATCCACCTCCTGGCTCACCACCCCGACATGCCTGTGGTGCGCAGCAACACTCGATGCCCCCTGAGGGAGCCCATCCTTCCGCAGAGCGGCCAGCCGTCCGCCTCACTCCGCGAATAGCCGCACACACCCGCCCCAGCTGGCCACTCACGCGT